CACTGCAATGTTGTAAAGTAATTAGCCTCCAACTAATAAAAATAAATGGAAAAAAAAAACACAAAAAATTTTAGAAATATATATGAAGTTCGGTTTAAAATTAGGGCTTCTTTTTTTTTTTCTTTGCAAGGTTATAGTGAAATGAAAATGAAAATTAAGGAGTAATAGAGGAGTAATAGAGGACTTTAAAAGAAAATAAGAGGAAAAAAAAACAAAAAAAATTTTTTTCCTAATAAAAAAAGTAGTAAAAATATATGAAAATGAAAATGAATGTTAAGGAGTAATGGAGGAGTGATAGGGAATTTTAAAAGAAAATAAAAGAGAAAGAATAAAGAAAAGAAAAATTTTTAATTAAAAAAAAAAGTAAAAATATATCTAGGAATTTCTCTGGAGCTGTTGTGGTCAGTGTGGGTTCGGTTCAGTTTCAGATAGCTCCTCATTCCAGCTTACCCTTCTCAATATCTACAGGCCCCTTCCGGTGTAGTCGGTGTCACCAGTCGCTTCTGAAGCGGTTCCCTTTGTTTATTTGGCTTCTGTTTGCCGGTCTCTTCAGTGTCTAATTTCCGCCCTGACACAGGCGGGCGGAGGTGCTCTCTTGTTCAGGTTCGCTGGTTCAGTCTTGCTGCAGGGAGGGAGGGGCGCTGCAGAAGAGATTTCGCTGTGCGTGGGTGCAACTCACAGTGCTCCAGCCACACTGGGTTTGCCCCGCTCACGGGTGTGTGCTTTCCCCGTCTACACCGCTCAGGCTCCCGGCTGCTCTATATGGAGCGGACCCTGTGTTGCGTGCGGTTCCAGTTTTCGGCTACTCCACAAAAACTCGGACTCGGTTGGGCCTGCGTTTTGTGCCTTCCCGGGCCTGAGCAGCTCAGGCCGCCGCCAGGAGCTTGACGGGCGCACTCTCCCCAGTGCGGCGCACCTTGTCCCCTCCGCAGCCCCAGTCCCAGCCTCGGTTTCTGCGCGCACCAGTCGGGTGCGTGTGCCTCGTGTCTGTTCTGGGGAGCTGGCCTCTAGCCACGATCCTCCCGGCGGATGTCGACCATCCAGAATCTCAGGAAGTCTTTGGTTAGAAACTGGAGGCCTGTTTGCAGTTTGGTAGGGGGTGCCGTCTCTGGGGCCGAGTTTGCCCCTTTCCCCTCCCCCCTGCCTCCTGCCTCTGGTGGGGGATGGGCCGGTCCACCGCCGGCTAGCTCTTCCCTGGAATTGCTCAGTCCCTTTGTTCTGCGAAGGGCTGGCAGTGTGTTTGGGCCAGTTAATTTTCTCTCTCTCTTTCTATCCCACAGTTTAAGTTGCTATCTCACAGTAGCTCCCTCCAATTGCCCTCAGGGCATTTGGGCCCGGTCCTTACCCTAAGCAATGCCGCCTGCTCCTCTCCGTTCCGCCCCCACTTGCTGGTGGTGGATGCAGGCGTCTGGGGTACTTTTCTGCTGGGAGTTGCTTTTAGGCATGTAATCTGTGGGTTTTATTTATTTTTCCTCCCAGTTAGGTTGCCCTCCGAGATTCAAAAACTTCCCCCAGACCCGCCAGTGAGAGGGTTTCTTGGTGCTTGGAAACTTCCTCTATTACGACTCCCTAGGACGGGTCTCCATCCCTAGCTCCTTTGTCTCTCTTTTTATCTTTTATATTTTGTCCTACCTCCTTTCGAAGACGATGGGCTGCTTTTCTGATGTGCCTGATGTCTTATGCTAGCGGTCAGAAGTTGTTTTGTTAAGTTTGCTCAGCGTTCAAATGTTCTTTCGATGAATTTGTAGGGGAGAAAGTGGTCTCCCCGTCCTATTCCTCCGCCATCCTGGCTCCTCCTCCCCTACTTCTCTTTAACAGCATCATCTGACTATCCCAGTAGGGATGAGATGCTTGTTCATTCAACTCTGAATAATACGTTTTCCCAAGACATCTGAGCCAACAATGACAGCCTACTATGACTTTCGCTCTGACTCCAGAATCCATTCTTCTGCTGACAGAGAAAGCCAACTGCAGAAAGAGACCTCTAATCACATACTCTCCACGCAAGATGAAACTGTACATAGAAGATGATCTCAAATCCAGTGAATGATTCTAAGAACTGGAGTTCTAATTCTGTTACCACAGTACTTTTTGACTGCTCATAAAACATTGCTTCAGCCAGGATTACCCCTCTAGAGAAATGTCATGACATTTTCTGGAAATTCTTAAAGTTCTTATTCAAGTATAAATCTAAGTGACATCAAGAAGCTGAAAGTTTAAGTAGCCATTTTTGGGATATGCATTGAGACTTTGAAAGTGCACTCTTATAGCTGTTATTTTGTAAATTTCCCTCCCTGGGTTTATGCCTTTATCCACCTCCATTTTCTCCAATTTTCTACATGCACTAATTCCCGGGAATTTTTATTTGCTTCTTATCTGGGTATGTGTCTATTTTTGGTTGAACCCTCCATTAAGAGACCAGATTTCTGGTCTCTGAACATGGAGTTGTGTCTTTGAACACAAAGCTCAGAATTCTTGCCTAATGAAGAGGAAAGTGAATAAGAATGGAAGTCAGAACATAATTTGTTTGTGTGATGCAGATACTGTTTTTTCCTATAGAGAACCAAAAGAAAAGAAGAAAAAGAAAAAGGAAAAGAAGAGGTAAGTGAGACTTTGGCTTCAATGACTCCACATTTTTCTGCCCATAACATTTTTGTGTTTTACCAACTATATCATTCACTTTTTCAGCAAGCCAGATGGTAAAAATGAAAATAAAAAGGACCCAGAAAAGAAACAGAAGAAAGAAAAGGACAAAGACAAGAAAAAGAAAGAGGAGAAAGGCAAAGATAAGAAAGAGGAGTAAGTATTTTTAATGGCATTGAGATTTGAAGTAAATTTGTGATGGGTTTTGGATGCAGAGATAATTTCCCAGAAATTTATAGGACAGAGGCCCTGTGTAAAGGCTAAATAAATTGTTATCAAATGTGAATTAATTTTTTTCCAATTTCCTTAAAATTAGCAATGGTAGTCTTAATCTTAATTTTCTCATCAAGAATTTTCAGTGTCATAGTTAATTTCCTTCCTCAAGCACTGATGAAGATAAACTTACTATTGGGACATATTTAGAATCCAAAGAAAGTTGCATTTCTAGGATCTTACCATAATTTTTTATTTGAAGTAAAAATTTAATAATTTCATTAATGTTTTTGAGTCATACATACTGCATGGCAAATAATCTAAAGTAGTCTCATTACAAAAGTCATGCTTAAGAGTTAGAATTTCATAAGAATAAGACTGAGTGATGTTTTCCAAGCTATCTTTTTACTTTATAATTAAAGAAAAAACTGTTCTTTTAGCTTAGTCAAAGAAAACTCTTTATCAGACAATGGTTTAATGATTTGTGCCTGTTAGAAATTTGTTGATGTATAAAGGGAAAATCCTTAAAAATAATAGGCTTGATACCAGAAAGTTTTTTAAAATGTCATTTGATGGTATAGTTTCTTCCTTTCTTCCTTCTCTTGTCCTCTATTGCTTCTCAAGTCTTCATGCACACTTAAGGACGAGTACTTTTTATTAGATTGTGCTATATTCTTCTCTCCATACAGATGAGAAAGAAGCCATGAGTTCCCCCTCACAATGTGGTCCCTGATTGTTATATTACCTGGTAAGGGGAGTGGCAAAACCATCATTCTCCCACCACCCATAACCCTCCAAAGGGATCTGTGGAATATCCAGAGTTTGGCATGATCTGTGCCGTTGTTCTTTCTCACTAGCTAGAGTGATAGAAGTGCCTGCAGCATCACAGTAAAATAAGGGCTTGGATAAAGTCTAAAGTATGGTTTAATGTGAGACTAATAATTTAACTATCCACTCCTCACTAACCAGTTTCTTATGATTAATGCACTATTCCAAACTAGTCTTCCCACTGTGGAGTGAGCTTCTCCAGCTTGTTTTTATATCATTAACTGTGGGTGATGGGTGTAACCATATTTGATATGTGAAATAAAAATCTTGTTTTTTGGTAACCTTCCATTTATTTCTAATTGCTGCTAGAGAGAAGAAGGAAGTCGTGGTTATTGATCCCTCAGGAAATACGTATTACAACTGGCTGTTCTGCATCACCTTACCTGTTATGTATAACTGGACCATGATTATTGCAAGGTGTCTATATATTTTTATGGATCTCAACCCGCTTCTAGTTTCCAGTTTCACTGACTTAACAGTTTGGCTTGGAACTCTTCAGGACACACCTTGCTCCACCACCAGTTTTCTAGATGTTACATCATTCTCTGTGTTTTCCTAAGATCAAGAGTTCTTTGGTTTCCAATCTCCTTTGAAATCCAGAATTGGGATGGGGGATATGGCCGTACTTTTAAACTTTTGAATTGCTCAATCATTTAATTAGAGTTTTGAGAGAAACTTTTTATTTTCTTTGGCCTGCAAGAAAAAGAAAATTGCCAAAACTGGAAAAAGATCAAGGATCTAGATTTTATAGAGCAAGATGGGTTTCCCAAGTAGTATCTATGGTTCCTTGTCTTTTAGACAGTGAACATCTCAGTCACCTAGGGCCAAGTGTGATTTCCTGAGGAACTTTGGGTATAAACAGTGAGTATGAACCTGGTTATCAATGTGTATCACCAAAAATTATCAATATTTTGACATTAGCTTGAGCCATTTATTTTCATTTGATATTTTCACAAAGCTGACTGGTATAATGGAAAGAATGTTGAAATTTGGAAAAGTGAAAAAACTAAATCTAACCCTCAGATATGGGAATAAATTTGGGAAAACCATGGTTGAGTAAATGGATTCTAAGGGCCCCTCCTCACCTTAGTGTATTGTATTTCTCAGTTCAGTTCAGTTCAGTTGCTCAGTCGTGTCTGACTCTTTGCGACCCCATGAACTGCAGCATGCCAGGCCTTCCTGTCCATCACCAACTCCCAGAGTCTCCCGAAACCCATGTCCATTGACTCAGTGATGCCATCCAACCATCTCATCCTCTGTCATCCCCTTCTCCTCCTGCCCTCAATCTTTCCCAGCATCAGGGCCTTTTCCAATGAGTCAGCTCTTCACATCAGGTGGCCAAAGTATTGGAGCTTCAGCTTCAGCATCAGTCCTTCCAATGAACACTCAGGACTGATCTCCTTTAGGATGGACTGGTTGGATCTCCTTGCAGTCCAAGGGACTCTCAAGAGTCTTCTCCAACACCACAGTTCAAAAGCATCAATTCTTTGGTGCTCAGCTCTCTTTATAGTCCAACTCTTACATCCATACATGACTACTAGAAAAACCATAGCCTTGACTAGACGGACCTTTGTTGACAAAGTATACAAAGAGGAATTTTATTTAAATTTATTTAAATTGGTCCATTTCATTTTATTTATACAAGTTTTTCTTTTACAGAGCATGTTTTGATGAACTTCAGTCTGATTACCTAGAATACTGGCTCGTTTTTGATTACTTATCAGATATAGTCTATCTTCTTGATATGTTTGTACGAACAAGGACAGGTAAATATGTTTAGTTTTGGATATTTTGCAATTTTGTGCTTTTGTCTCTATGTTTAATTTGAAATTTATTAATTCAGGTATTCTTAAAAAAAACACAAAGGTTTGTTTGAGAAGAAAAGGCACCATTGAAAGCAAGAGTACCACATACCCACCCACAGGCTCTTGTGTGTTAGTCGCTCAGTTGTGTCTGACTCTTTGCGACCCCATGGACTGTAGCCTGCCAAGTTCCTCTGTCCATGGACTCCTCCAGGCAAGACTATTGGAGTGGGCTCTCATTCCCTTCTCCAGGGGATCTTCTTGACTCAAGGACTTAACCTGGGTCTTCCGTATTGCAGACAGGTTCTTTGCCATCTGAGCCACCAGGGAAGGCCAACCCACAGGTTTAGGCCACTCCAACTGATCCAGAAGGACATTACTAGCAACCTTCTGGATGTGGATTGATGGTTTTCCTCCATTAGCCTGTTCACTGGGTTTATACCAGGCAAGAGGAACAGAGAGAACAGAAGTACTCTGCAGCTCTGTGAGGAAAAGGTAATTGCTACTTAACAGAGGTACCTTGAAGAGACATGGGGGGAAAGGTCATTGTACTTAGCAGAGCTTTCCTAGAAATATATAAGAAGCAGGACATACATCCTTAATTCAACTTTATGGTTCATGGGGAGGCATTATTGACCAATAATCTGGGCAGAATCTGATAGCTTCTTACTTAAGTATTCTTGTTAAATAGGAATAAGCTCATTGTTTCCATACTGCTCTCTACATGCAAAGGTAACCTGTGTATGCAGAGAATGGCTTTTAAGAATCATTATGTAAAATAGTGACATTCTCTAGTATCAGTGCACTGAAACAATATTTCAGTTCTGTTCTATGCACAGCTCTGGTAACCAAAATAGGAAGAGAAATAAAATTTTCCCTAGTGAAATATTTCAGATCACTGAAATTCTGGGTTTAATACACAAAGCCCATGGTAGCAGCTTAAGAGAAAGGAAGATCCCAGATGTCTAAGTTAGCCTGGGGAAGGGCAAGAAAGAGATATGAAAATGAAGCCTCTAAGAAGATATGCTTCACATTGAAGGGGTAAGGCAAGAATATGCAGGATAGTCAGACAGCAAGAAAGTACCCAAGCTTCAAGGGTGAGGCTGGGATTCTGACAAAAGAGTGGCACGAGGAATTAAACACAGTGCTAGAGCACGCAGAGAACTTCGTATGAACATTGTTCATAAAAAGAATAGCTTTACCTGGACAAGATGCTGAGCCTAGAGAAATTTGCATATATACCTCATATTTATACATTGCATATAATCTCTCACTTTTGTACTTATAAAGCTTTATTTTTTATTTCTGCAAAAGAACCTTTTCCATGGTCATATGTTGATCTCATTACATTGCTGAAAGCATATTTATTGAAATGAACTCTTGTTTTGAACTCAACGAAGTTGGTTGAGAGTTACTGTAGAAAAATTCACAATGACATAAAAAGGAAAAACACTTTTTTTTTCTATTTTAGGTTACCTAGAACAAGGACTACTGGTGAAGGAAGAGCGTAAACTCATAGAGAAGTATAAATCAACCTTTCAATTTAAACTTGATGTTCTATCAGTGATCCCAACTGATCTGCTGTATATTAAGTTCGGCTGGAATTATCCAGAAATTAGATTAAACAGATTGTTAAGGATCTCTCGAATGTTTGAATTCTTCCAGAGAACAGAAACAAGGACAAACTACCCAAACATCTTCAGGATCTCTAACCTTGTTATGTATATCATCATCATCATCCATTGGAATGCGTGTGTGTACTTCTCTATTTCCAAGGCTATTGGGTTTGGAAATGACACATGGGTCTATCCTGATGTTAATGATCCTGATTTTGGCCGTTTGGCTAGAAAATATGTGTACAGTCTTTACTGGTCTACACTGACTTTGACCACTATTGGGGAAACACCACCTCCCGTGAGGGATTCTGAGTATTTCTTTGTGGTGGCTGATTTCCTCATTGGAGTGTTAATTTTTGCCACCATTGTCGGTAACATAGGTTCTATGATTTCCAACATGAATGCAGCCAGGGCAGAATTTCAAGCAAGAATTGACGCGATCAAGCAATACATGCATTTTCGAAATGTAAGCAAAGATATGGAAAAGCGAGTTATTAAATGGTTCGACTATCTGTGGACCAACAAAAAAACAGTGGATGAGAGAGAAGTCTTGAAGTATCTACCTGATAAATTAAGAGCAGAGATCGCCATCAACGTTCACTTAGACACATTAAAAAAGGTGCGCATTTTTGCGGACTGTGAAGCTGGTCTGTTGGTGGAGTTGGTCTTGAAATTACAACCCCAAGTCTACAGTCCTGGAGATTACATTTGCAAGAAAGGGGATATTGGCCGAGAGATGTACATCATCAAGGAAGGCAAACTCGCTGTGGTGGCTGATGATGGGATCACTCAGTTTGTGGTATTGAGTGATGGCAGCTACTTTGGTGAAATCAGTATCCTTAATATTAAAGGTAGCAAAGCTGGCAATCGAAGAACAGCCAATATTAAAAGCATTGGCTACTCAGATCTATTCTGTCTCTCAAAAGATGACCTCATGGAAGCTCTAACTGAGTACCCAGATGCCAAAGGTATGCTAGAAGAGAAAGGGAAGCAAATCTTGATGAAAGATGGTCTATTGGACATAAACATTGCAAATGCTGGAAGTGATCCTAAAGATCTCGAGGAGAAGGTCACCCGAATGGAGAGCTCAGTAGACCTCCTGCAAACAAGGTTTGCTCGGATCCTGGCTGAGTATGAGTCAATGCAGCAGAAACTGAAACAGAGACTGACCAAGGTTGAGAAATTCCTGAAACCGCTTATTGACACAGAATTTTCAGCTATCGAAGGATCTGGGACTGAAAGTGGGCCCGCAGACTCTACACAGGACTGAAAAGCTGGTTTTTCATAAGGACGTTCCTCAGGATCCTTTTGGTGATATGATGAAGGTACCTGCAAGCTGGAAGACAAGGATGACTCAGCTGGGAATTTTTCCATAGGGAAAATGTGCTTTGGTGCAGGGCACAAAGCCATACATTTGCTTGTGAGGTACTGTGGCTAAAGAATCATCACACTTAGAATTTTTCACAATGGATAACCTGCAAAGATATGAACCAATTAATTTGTCAGCATCTCTTATCTTCTAATTTTTTTCACATATGGTCCTTTTATGTTACACTCTTTATAAAAGTGAACAAACATCTCTCACTTTCAGACAATTTATATTTCTCAGGAGCAACTGAAAATTATCATGTACCTCATGTTCAGGATACTATTTAAAAAGAATTAAAATGCAATAAAGTGAGATAAATCCTAAAGTTATAGCGAATATTATTTATTTGATAATTTAGTCAAGAGTTTAGGACATTTTAGAGCTTCCAGGTCATTTTAAAGACCTTAATCATTTACTCTAGAGCTTGGGAAGAATGGTTGAAAGAAATTTCTTACTGATATAAGCAGGACAAATCATATTTATATATGTGTGTATGTGTGTGTGTATATATATATATATATGTACACACACACACACACACATACATACACGCATGGTGTGTGTGTGCTCAGTCATGTCCAGCTCTTTGCGGCTGCATGGGCTGAAGTTCTCCAGACTCCTCTATCCATGGGATTCTCCAGGCAAGAATACTGGAGTGTGTTGCCATTTCCTTTTCTATACACACACACATATGACTATGCTGTGTTTGGTTGTGTCTGGCTCTTCGTGACCCCATGGACTATAGCCCACCAGGATCCTCTGTCCATGGAATTTTTCAGGCAAGAATACTAGAGTGAGTTGCCATTTCCTTCTCCAGGGGAACTTCCGGACCCAGGGATTGAACCTGCATCTCCTGCATTACAAGTGGATGCTTTACCGCTTGAGCCGTCGAGTAAGCCTTGTTGTTTTAGTTGCTCAGTCTTGTCTGGCTCTTCTGCAACCCCATGGGCTACAGCCCATTAGGCCCTGGGTCCGTGGGATTTCCCAGGCAAGATTACTGAACTGGATTGCCATTTCCTTCTTGAGGGGATCTTCCTGACCTAGGGCTCAAACCCATGTCTCCTGCATTGCAAGCAGGATCTTTACCACGGAACCATCTGGGAAGTTGAAAATCATGAAATTGAAAATCATAAAATATTGTAAGAATCTTTAGTTATATAAATTTTAAAATTTATGATTATTAAGCCTTGACAGAAATTGGTTACTATCTCCTTTCTCTGACTGACCAGCAATAAGGAGAAGAGATAAAGCTAATACTTTTGCTGGGTGATGAACAAAGGAAATTGTTAGAAAACGAGACCCGGGAGTACTATAGTCCAGCATGGGCATCATAGGAGCTTCTTAGCAATTCAGAATCTCAGGCCCTAACACAGACCTGCTGTATCAGAATCCAAATTTTAGCAACCCCCTAGGTAATTCATACATTAAACTCGAGAAGAGAGTCAGGAAGGAGTTAATGGGAGGATGGGTCTAGAAAAGAAACGGGGACTATATGACAAGTGTGTGCTCACAGAAGACACTGACAATCAGCTATACTGCTCTGCTGCTCAACTCAGATGGGGCTCAGTAAGTTCCTACCACAGATCACTGGGATCGATTTCAGGTTTCTATCCATGCCTATAATACTATGACTTAACATGACTTAGCATGACTTAATATGACTTTAATATGACTTAATATGTTAATTTGACATTTCAGATATCTCTATGGACCTCTATCAGTGTATGCCAATGGTGGAAGTTATCCTACTCTACCAATAGGATATTTATTGAACTAAATGTTGTCTTTGCCTTTGAAGCCTTCCCTTCAACATCCTACCTATATCTTTAATATCGACAGGCAAATACTTCTTCACTGCAGAGGAAGTGGTTAGTCCTAGAGTGGGTGAATCAATAAGTAATAAAAAAATATGGCTTCTTCCTGAGACAAGTGCTCCTTTTCCTCTCTTTTCTTTCTTATTATTCCTTTTCCTTCATCTGTGTTTTATTCTTTTCTTTGTGTTCCTTCTTGTCTGTTATGAAAATCTCTATAGCAGATTTGCCAGGAATAAGTGAGGGTTACACACCTGGCTCAGGGCTGTTTCCTAAAGGAGAAGCACCCAACCACAGCATCCAGTGGGGGGCACCTTGAATCTGATCTGGGCTAGAGATGTATCCAAGGGTTCTGATTTGATGACCTCTGACTCCAGGCTCTGAGCTTACATCAGATAGGTAGCAGGTTCTTGGTGCAAAGCCTTGGGCTAAGGAGGGTTTAGCCAAATCCTTTTTCATGACTCTTCCAGGTGGTGAAGACTCCAGTTTTAGACACCTGGAGTGTGAAGCAGAACTTCACAACTGAGCTCTGGCTTCATGCTGCTGCTGCTGCTGCTGCGTCACTTCAGTCGTGTCCGACTCTGTGCGACCCCGTAGACAGCAGCCCATGAGGCTCCCCCTTTCCTGGGATTCTCCAGGCAAGAACACTGGAGTGGGTTGCCATTTCCTTCTCCAATGTATGAAAGTGAAAAGTGAAAGTGAAGATGCTCAGTCGAGTCCGACTCTTAGCGACCCCATGGACTGCAGCCCACCAGGCTCCTCCGTCCATGGGATTCTCCAGGCAAGAGCACTGGAGTGGGGTGCCATTGCCTGCTCTGCTGGCTTCATGAGGGAATTAAAAACAAACAAACAAACAAAAAAGGACAGGGTACACGTGGCTTTGGTGAGACTGATGGTAAGTGTCCTGACTTGGGTACATGTGAATGTCAAAGCTGGAGCTTTCCTTTTATCAATCCAGAGACCATCCACATTCCAGCCTGATCCTGCACTCCAGTGGCTGTCTGGGACTAGCATCTTAGCATGTTAAGACTAGGACAGGCTTGATGTAAGGACAAGTGAAGGCTGGCTGAAGTTGGAAGATCTTTAGTAATGGCATCTGAGAGGAAATGAGAGGGAGAATTCTGGGACTTGTAGATGGCAGATCAGAGACAATATGACTCAGGCTTGCCAATGTCTCTGGTAAGTACTCTGCCTTCCTCCCAAATCTATTATGATATGATATAGGAAGAGATTACTTTAAGGTTTTGCAGAATTTTTTAAAATCAACTTTTCTAACTTGAAATATGATGTGATTAAGTGTCTTACCATTAGGAGGCAATATCGGCCTATAATTATAAACTTCAGAGCCTGAAGCTGTTTTTTTTTTTCTTCTTGGAATTTTTGGTTGTAAAATCAGAGCTCTTTGGTAACAATAGGCAGTCTTTCTCTAACATGAATATTTTTAGAAGATTTTAGAATAGACTATATATTAGTCTAAAATGAAATCATGATCAAATAAAGTATAAAATATAAATGTAGTGGGTAAAATAACAACATAAATTAAAATTTTTAATATTTTGTATTTTCAGGAAGTTCATCTAGGCACTAATATAATTTCATTGCAAGAAGCTTTTACCAATGTGTAAGATGCATTCTAAAGGTAAGCAAAATGGGGAGAAAAGAAGCAAGCAGCATTTATATTGAGCTTCATTTTATATTTTTATTTTTTAAAAAGTCCACTGCTTTAAAATGTTTGAAAACCACAGATATGTTTTAATAGTGTTTGATGTATGCCTGGCTTGGACATTGTCAGTTTAAGTTATATTCTTCCTTATGACTATTGAAACTGTATTATTGGATATCCTAGTTTATAGACTATTCAGAATATAAAATACAAAATAGAGGCTTATAGACTCAGAAGAAACAGTTTGCTATTTGCTGGACTAGTTTATCTCAAGGTGAAGAGAGAAAATGGGAAATTCAAGAGAAAGGAATCAGAGAACATAGAAAATGTTCATCTTATTTATCCCTAGGGATCATCTTATTTATCCCTCCTCATTTTGAAAATACAGAAATGATGATCAGATGACAGTAAAACTGATGAGGATGTAGTAATGGGAACTTTGAATGAGACTGGAAATTCTTGCCATATGTTGGAAAGCAATATGCTAATATCTGCTAGAGCTGCAAGTTGGCTTAACCTAAAACCCAGAAAGTTCACTACAAATATTGGCCACATTCTTCAACAGTGAGACATGCTGAAGAGTGTAACAGTAAAAAAAAAAAAAAAAAAAAAAGTAAGCAACTTAAATGATCGTGGAAAGGAGATGATTTATAAATTGGAATACATTCACATAATGGATTCTATAAAATGTTTGAATACTAACAATTGCACTCATCTCACACCCTAGTAAAGTAATGCTCAAAATTCTCCAAGCCAGGCTTCAGCAATATGTGAACTGTGAACTTCAGATGTTCAAGCTGGTTTTAGAAAAAGCAGAGGAACCAGAGAGAGATCGAATTGCCAACATCCGCTGGATCACTGAAAAAGCAAGAGAGTTCCAATAAAACATCTATTTCTGCTTTATTGGCTATACCAAAGCCTCTGACTGTGTGGATCACAATAAACTGTGGAAAATTCTGAAAGAGATGGGAATACCAGACCACCTGACCTGCCTCTTGAGAAACCTATATGCAGGTCAGGAAGCAACAGTTAGATCTGGACATGGAACAACAGACTGATTCCAAGTAGGAAAAGGAGTATGTCAAGGCTGAGTACGTCATGAGAAACTCTGAGCTGGAAAAAGCACAAGCTGGAATCAAGATTGCCGGGAGAAATAGCAATAACCTCAGATATGCAGATGACACTACCCTCATGGCAGAAAGTGAAGAAGAACTAAAGAGCCTCTTGATGAAAGTGAAAGAGGAGAGTGGAAAAGTTGGTTCAAAACTCAACATTCAGAAAACTAAGATCATGGCATCTGGTCCCATCACTTCATGGCAAATAGATGGGGAAACAGTGGAAACAGTGGCTGACTTTTATTTTTCTGGGCTCCAAAATCACTGCAGATGGTGACTGCAGCCATGAAATTAAAAGACGCTTACTCCTTGGAAGGAAAGTTATGACCAACCTAGACAGCACATTAAAAAGCAGAGAGATTACTTTGCCAACAAAGGTCCATCTATTCAAAGCTATGGTTTTTCCAGTAGTCATGTATGGACATGAGAATTGGAGTCTAGAGAAAGCTGAGCGCTGAAAAATTGATGCTTTTGAACTATGGTGTTGGAGAAGACTCTTGAGAGTCCCTTTTACTAAAAGGAGATCCAGCCAGTCCATCCAAAGGAGATCAGTCCCGGGTGTTCATTGGAAGGACTGATGCTGAAGCTGAAACTCCAATACTTTTGCCACCTGATGTGAAGAACTGACTCATCTGAAAAGATGCTGATGCTTGAGGGATTGAGAGCAGGAGGAGAAGGGGACGACAGAGGATGAGATGGTTCGATGGCATCACCAACTCAATGAACATGAGTT